CATAAGTCGCGGTCTGTGGCTCTGATAACAGCCTTCTCGCCGCGAACAGCGCCACATGGCTTCAGTCACCGAAGAAGGCTTTGCAAGGTTTTTGATCTCAAGATCTTCCTTCAAAACATTTTGTCAAATGTCTGCAAGGCAGGCAGTGAATAGTACGGCTACCGAGCCCTTCAACGTTCCGTACCAGCGACACATCGAGTGCTGTGGACTGCTACACGCTGCAACGAAACGCCAAACCGCTAACACAGCGGCTTCGAAACCAACGCGCACGACACAAGAATCCATGGCTTAATTTTCCAAGGAGAAATCGACCCTAATAGCAACGTCTATAGCGCGTGGCATACGGTGCTCAGAACGTGACGAGAAATATGCATTGTCATGGTAAAGGTGCTGTTTCCACCCGCAGGCCATTATAAGCCCAATCCTGTATACAGCGAAGACGAAGCCAAAAAAAGGACAAGAACGTATGATGTATGTATAAGGGATTCTGCCTTGAATCAGAAGGCAGAATATCTTCCCTAAAAGAGATGTCTGCTTATTTGTGCTTACGTCTCTGTGCCGGGCGTCCGTACCTATCAAAGGGAGGGAGAGTCACTCTGGGCAACCTTGCACAAGAAACAAATTTAAACAAGTGTTTTTCAGCCATTCCTAGCATCATTGCAAGCCAGTGATATTTCATGTCGCACAGTCGGGTGGGACCGGTCCGCAGGACGGCCCGTTCCCGCACACGCCCTCAGGGCCGGTCCCAGCAGACCCGCGCGGACCGGCCGGACAGAGTCGCTGACCGGCCGGACAGCATCGCCGGTTATGATACATCAGGCGCTCTGGTACATTAGGTGTTGTGATGCATTAGGTTCTGTGATACATCAGAAGTTGTGAAACAGGTGATTTGATACGCTGGGCCTAATAATATATTAAATGTAGTGACATATTAGGGGTTATGATATATTAGGGATTATGGTATATTAGAGGTTATGAACATTAGGCTTTGCGACACGTTAGAACTTACGAACATTACGGTTTATGATACATCAGGGTTTACGATACATTAGAGCCTATGACACATCAGTAGTTGTGATACGATGATGACGATGATGATTTGGGGTTTTGGGGCGCTGGTTGTGATATATCAGACGCTTCGAACATCAGGCACTATGATACATTACTGGTTACGAACATTAGGTGTCGCGATAATCCCCGTTGCGGACCGGCCGGACAGACCCGCGGACCGGCCGGACAGACCCGCGGATCGGCCAGACAGAGCTGCGGACCGGTCGGACAGAGCCGCGGACCGGCCGGACAGACCCGCGGACCGGCCGGACAGAGCCGCGGACCAGCCGAACAGACCCGCGGACCGGCTGGACAGGCCCGCACACCGGTCGGACATAGCCGCGGACCGGCCGGACAGAGCGAGACTACGGGCGGGGCGGGGATGGCCTGAGGGGGGGGGGGGGGGGGGGGGGGGCTGCGGCCACCAGATAGCGAAGCGGCGCGCACACACGCGCGGGGCGCCGGGCCGGCCGCTATCGAGCCGGCCTGTCGCGTCCGGCACCAGTTATTGGCCGGTTGGCTACGGCAGCGGCCGGGCAACCGACCCTCGCTGCTGGAAGGTCACTCTCTCGCGATGGATGTGACCGCTGTGTCAGGGTCATACTTCCACTCGTGGCCAATGTACCAAGGGAGTCCCAACACGAAGCTGATAGTAGTATTTAGAGTCGGCGACACTTGTCGTCAGACTGGGGTAGAGTGCACTAAGCTTAGCGAATGACCGATATCAGGTCCATTTGTCACAGCATTGTCCCCCGCGCTGAGGGTGGGTAAATATCCGCCCCCTCCCCACGCCTTTTCCGACAATGCCTGGAGAACGGTTTATGCCAGTGTCCTGAAATTTGGGATGTCTTTTCTTTATCATTTTTCCGTGCACTCAGCAATATTTTCAGATCGTGTCGTTTCAGTGACCTAGGACAGTTAAAGCCCAAGCAAGTTAGACCGAAACATGGATCAGCTTGGGGTACTCCCAACAAAGTCAGGGGGGTATTTTTGCAAAATAAGTTGAGGGGGAGGGCTGAGCAGTAAAATCTGATGCAGCCCACCTGCCAAGTATATCAACAAATGGGGCTCTCTCCGAATTTATTCCACGTTCTTTTCAAACTATCTCGTCCGTCCCCATAGCTCAGTTGACTAGAGCACCTGCCTTCTGATCCACCCACCCCTGGCTGGGTGCGTTCGGAAGGCTTTACGCACTCGCTGCTTGTCATCGACAGATATGGCCTGCGGCCGGTGGCAACGGCCGGGCTAAAACTCAGGAACTGTTAGACGATAGGACGGCCCGTGCCGAGCACTGTGCCATGTTAAACTTTCGCCAGCAAATTCTGCCATTGACCTGGAATTGCGCGGTCAGATGGTGGGATGGCAAGGGCTCACGCAACAAGCACTGCTTATTGTGAGCTCTGATCCCAGAAAAAAAGAAAGAGGCTCCAATTACTTTTTTAAACTCAGAAGGCTGGGAGCCAAACCTAGTAGGGGGAGGAGGAGGGTGAAGCCCCTCCGACTGCACAGGAAACTACGCCTCTCAACAAAAGCGGCCAGATGGTCCTCCTGCGGTCCTCATACTTTGTCGCTTGTCCATCTAGTGATGTCACTCCCTGAACTTTCATTGACATGTTGTGGCCATCCTAGGGCAATGACACAGAATGACCTAAGTTCTGACTGCCAGTAACACTAAAGAAGTATAGCTGTTAAGCTGTGTTGATCTTCAATTCAGAGCAATTACTTCTCTGACCTGTGCAATATTTTGATTCAAAAACTCACCATAGATCACTAACCCAGCTTCACACTGAGGTTTGTGCCTTAGAACACTGTGCACCATTGCTCGCACTTGTCAGCCCCATTTCCATTTTCATTCCATGATGTGCATCTCCACCTCCAATTGGTCATTATAAATGGGATATCTCTTATTGTGATAGTGATGCCAATGACACTGCATGAGCCCTGAGATTCAATATGTAGTTATTTGTTTTTCCATTCGTTTTGGCAGTTGTCACACTAACATGGTACATACTGGAACATTAGAAAGGTTGATGATGGTCAGTGACCTATTCCAAACTGAAATTGATGTTTTGCTCCAGTTGGCCCAGTCCAGCTGACATTTAGCTTTGCAATGCTTATGCAAAGCCAGCTCATCTTCTTAAGCTTTGCATGCTTAAAGAGATATACTGCTTGCATCCCATGACATTTCATGTCCCTCTAAACACTTTCCCAGATGAATATACCTGGGATCAGACAGTTTACACACACCACTATCTGGCAAAAATTAGCACAGATCAATGCCAGTGTGAAGGTTGAAAATTAAAGGGCAGACAGTTTAAGTATTCTATCACATACCAAGCCTGGTTAAATACTAGGTAACTGTGAAAGGATCTCAGAAAATACTAACTGTGCTTCACAAACTCTGGTGGCAGGCAGCCATCAAAAACTTCATAAGTAGTATGACTGCCCTTCTGACAAATAAAACCCTAATTTCAGATGCAAACTTAAACTTAATCATAAATTGATCACATCTGCTCTCCAACTGATGTAATCCTGAAGGTGTGCAGGTGGTGTACAGGTGTACTGCATGCAAAATGTGTGCATAACTGCACATACACACTACTTATCACAGCACATTCCAAATCTTGAAACAAGATTTGTACAAGAAATGATAAGCATAAAGGAAAACATACATTATTTTAAATAGCAAAATGAATATGAGCCAAAAAAAACTCTCCTAGTGAACACAATGAAATCATATTTATATGATGCATTCTTGCTTCCTCTACTCTAACATTGAAATATTGACATTTTCAGCTCCAACTTTGGCACTGGTGGTATCTCTCAGCAACAATCAAATGCAGAAATGCACCATCATTAGACTCATCAGTCATCAATCACATCATAGAGTTTGGCAACTTCATGATGTGATCTGACACTATCTGGATGAAACCATGTGGATGGGCTATTGATCCACTTTGTTATTCACACATCTGTGCACTGAATATCTGCCGCATGCATTAGCAGCATAGTGGAGGATTGAAATGTGATGGAATGGTCAAGTTCAATTAACACAGAAGTTAGCATCTGGAATGAGGCTCATCCTGTTAAGTGTTGCATGGCCTACAAGACAGTAGCTTGCATAGACTTATGCTGCTGCATACCATACAAAGATGGGACTTGTAGGCTGGCCTTTCAGAAAAGGAGTGAGGAATAACAGAGAAGTGCAGCTAATATACAGCTAGTCAGATTATTATTAAGTTATGATTAGAAGCAAAATACTCAATGCTGAATATCAGTGTCACCTTGCCCCCAAACCCTAGCAGCTTGGGACAGAATGACCATACAGATGATTTGGAAAACAGCATTACAGCATGTTAGATGTTACTGACCATTCAACCTTGGATCCCAGTGGGTTAAAGTGGCTTAAGTGCAGCTGTAATGTCACTACAGTAACCCCAGTTTTGGGACAAAACTATGCCAATTGTCAACAATTGTGGTGCAGGTTATTTATGAAGCTTAAGCATAAAAATTGAGTGTCTTCAGCTTAAAATGTCCACAAAAACGCTGCCCACTAAGACTGCTATGTTATTGCCTGATTTGGAGACATGTAGTGGACGTGACAACTATGAATATCACAAAACATAAATAACTAGGCTCAGATCATTTCAATCACCTCAGATACCTAGGTTTCTGTCAGTACAGATTGCACGTGCTCTGGATCTACTTTCCCTAGAAACAACCAGAAATCCTCTGGATGACATCGATTACGATTGGGGGCGACCGTGGTGCTGATGCAAATGGGAGCGTACGTGACATCTGCAACAAATACCGTAGTTTTTCAATGTTTCTAGCCATATCTAAAGAGTAACAACCACTACTGCAAGAGGACAGGGCATCAAGATGGGCTTCGCGGGGATGGAGCCACAGGGGCAACACATACACATGCTAAAAACAGCTAAATAGCTTACATGTACAGGTCACGCCCAGTCACGCCCTCCTCCATTTCTGCCAGTACTCAACACCATAGAGATGGACAGGAAAACAGGACGGTACTCTGACGGGAGAGGGAGGGACTAAACAGTTGACAAAACCTGTTGACAACCCGATGATCCGAGTCTATGAGGCTGCTAGAAACCAAACATTCGGCGTTCGGTGCCACTTGATCGGTAACCCCTCCTCTCCGGCTGATGGTGACCTTAGATCTGATATCAGGTGACTAAAAACGTCAAAAACAGAAAAATTTGTTTGCGTGCAACCCTGTGCTTCAAGCATAAGGAACAGATCACCACAAAACCTTCTTTGGTTGATGCACTAATTCGGCATTATATCTTTTCTACAGCGTGGTGAGCTTGAGTCTAGTCAAAGATCGTCAAAAACGCCCGAAACCAGAAAAATTTGCCGCAGACAGCCCCATGCTCCAAGCCTATGGTTCCGCTCGAAACCGAACGTTCAGTAATCAACCACAATGGTGAATAACATCTCTTCGCAGATGACGGGGGTCTCGGATAGGGTCAACCGTCACCAAAAGACGCCTGAAACGACCGCAGTTGATGACAATCCCGTGCTGAACTCCATGATTAGAGCCTTTGGCACTGATCGAAACGAAAAATCCACCCATCAAAGCACAACGGTTGATAACTTATCCTCTTTAGAAGGTGATGACTTTGTCAGGGGCGTATCCAAGGGGAGGGTACAGGCCTTGTCCCTTTGGGCTCTGAAGGGGCCCATAGCCTGTCGAACAAACGCAGTTTTTTACCACAAAGCGCAACAAATTGCAACAACTTTGGCCTTCCAGACTACCAAGAACAGTCACAAGCAAAAGTGAAGGGCCCACGAGCTGACAGGAATTGTTCTTCGCCGATTGAAGGGGTGGTAACTGGGAGGTTTTGATGCTCGTTACGCTGTTCAGAGGCCATACACAGTTTCCGTGGCCCTATATGTCCACTTGCAGGGCCAATCCGATCGTTAAGAAGCTCTCTACGTTGGCCCTGATTTCCGTGCATTTGCTCGGAGGGCTCTGCGCTTGTGCTGAGCTCTTCCAGCCAGCGTGACGGGACACACTTGTCAACCAGGGGCTTTCCACTGATTCCTTCCGTTCGTCCGAAAGGCTTCATACACTATAACCGGAGGCACCATATGTTAACCTGTAGGGGTATCTCGGCCGTTCAGGGACGGGGGCGGATCCGGAGAAGTGGGGGGGGGGGGGGCCACGGGGCCATGGTCCCCTTGGGCCCCGGAGGGACCCCATCGGCTCCGGAGGGGCCCATAGCCGGCCGAACAGGTGCAGTTTTTAACACAAAACGCAAAAAATTGGGCGTCTTTGGACTTGCAGGCGACCAAGAACAGTCGCAAGCGAGGGTAAAGGGTTCACGAGTGGACAAAAACAAAACTTTCAGGATTGCACAACTATCATTTGAGATATTTAAACTTTACTATGCTGTTCAGGGGGCCTGCGCCGTTTCCGGGGGACCTATATGCTCACTTGCAGGATCATTCTGATCGTTAAGCAGTCTTGCACTTCGCCCCTGATTTTTAGCATTTGCTCGGGGGGGGGGGGGGCCTGCGCTGTTGCTGGGCCCTTCCTGCTAGCGTGCCGGGACGCTCTTGTCAATTAGGGGCCTTCCACAGATTCTTTACATTCGCCAGAAAGGCTCTGTACGCTATAGCTGGTGTCCCATATGTTACCCTGCCGGGACATTCTCGGTTGCTCAGGCGCCCTTTATGTCGGTGACGGTTAACCTATCGACACACTCACAATGTGCCCATGGGTCCCCTTCATTGGTCTAGGGTGCTTCCGATTCTCTGCCACTTGTTTAGGGCCCTCCACTCTTGTTGGGCGCCCATCTGCTAATCTCCTTCGGCACATCGGTTATTCGGGGCACACCATTTGGATTTTGGGTGCTTTCTTTTTCAATGGAGGGTCCCGCACATTTGTCGGGGTCCGATCTGTTAACTTGCTCGGGAGCACTGGATTGTTTGGGGGCCCTGCACATTGGATATTTTAATGTAGGGTACTACGCTCCTGTCGGGGGCCATCTGATAGCTTGTTCGGGTACGCTCGACCCTTCACGGGCCCTCCATACTGGGTCTTGGGTGCTTCTTGTTTGAATGGGGAGCCCTACGCTCTTCTCGGGGACCTATTTGATAACGTGCTCGGGCATATTCGATCGTTCGGGGTCCTCTACGTTGGGTCTTGGGTGCTTCCTTTTTTAATGGAGGGCCCTACGCGCTTGTCGAGAGCCCCTTTGTTCACCTCCTCGGCAACACTGGACTCTTCGGGGGGCCCTGCACATTGGATCTTGGAGTTTGAATTAAGGGCCCTACACTCCCATCGGAGCCATCTGATAACCAACTCGGGTATACTTCCTCTTTCGGGGGCTCTCGCAATGGGTTTCGGGTAGAATGCAGGGTCTTGTGCTCTTGTTGGGGCCCCTTCTTATAAGTTGCTCGGACACGCTGGATCGTTCGGGGGCATCTACATCGAGTCTTGTGTGCCCCTGTTTGAATGGAGGGCCCTACGCTCTTGACGGAGGCCCTATCTGTTAATCTGCTCTGGTACACTCGATCATTCGGGGGCCTCTATCTCGTGCCGTGGGTATTTCATATTTGAACGGAAGGCCGCGCTCTCTTGTCGAGAGCCCCATCTGTTTACCTGTTCCGGCACACTCGATTGTTCGGGGGCCCCATATTGCGTCTCGGGTGCTTTCTATTTGAATGGTGGACTTAAAGCATTTGTCGGGGCCCCGTTTGTTCGCCTCCTCGATTACACTGGATGGCTCGGGGGTCCTGTATATTAGCTCTTGGTGTTTGAATTTATGGCCCTACCCTCCTTTTGGGTGTCATCTGACATCTGCTCGGGTGCAATCCATGTTTCGGGAGTCCTCCGCATTGGGCTTTGAGCACCTTTTATTTGGATGAAGGGCCTTACGCTCTTGTAGAGCCCTTCTGATAAGCTGCTCGTGCACATGCAACGTTCGGGGGGTCATTTACATTGTGTTTTGGATGTTTGCGCCTCTATATCAAGAAGTGTGCATTTCATATTTGAATGGAAGGCCCTACGCTCTTGATGGGAGCCCTATATGTTAACCCTATCAAGAGCACTCGATCACTCCGGGGCCCTCCATGTTGTCTTGAGTGCTTCTCACTTGAATGGATGGCCCTATGTTCTTGGCGGGCCCCATCTATGAAGCCGCTCGGGTCGTTGGCGGTTACAGAGGGGGGGGGGGGGGGGGAGGAGAGCACCGGACCATGCCCCTTGGACCATGCAGAGAGCATCCATAGGTTTCAAAGTGGTCGATAATCGGCTGAACGGATACAGTTCTTTAACAAAACACAATCAAATTGGATGTATTTGGGCCCACAGATAGCATAGAACGGTTACAAACGAAAGTGAAGAGTTTTTAAGGAGGTAAATGTAAATTTTTATTTATTAAAAGGGTGGTGACTGAGAGAACTTGTGGGGCTCATTATGCTTTCCAGAGGTCTTGCGCTGTTGTCCGGGCCATATATGTCCACTTGCCTGGTCAATCTGATCACCAAGAAGCCTTCCACGTCACCCTTGATCTCTCATCATTGTTCCCTGTTCCGTACATGATCTCAACGCTGCTGTTGGGATACTGTCTGTTTCCATGCCTGGGCACTCTTGATCGATTGGGGGCCCTCCACAGATTTTTCCCATTCACCCGAAAGGCTCTATATGCTTTTTCCGAGGCCCCGTTTGTCAGCGTACAGGGCTTTTTCTCTTTGGTCTCATTTGCGGAGGACTCTTCACTTCTATCGGGCTCTTTTCGCTAACCTGCCCGGGCACTTTTGATCGCATGGAGGTATCCATTCATAGTCTTGCATAATTCCGCTTTGCTCAGAGGGTCCTGTGCTCTGGCCGAGGCCTCATATGTCGGCCTGCCTGGGCACTACCGATCGTTTAGGGGCCCACCACGTTGGTCTTGGGTTTTTTCGCTTGCCCCGTGGGCCAAATGCTTGTTGACGGGAGTCTCTTTGTTGGTCTCGCTGGGCACCCATGATTGGCCAGGTTCCGTCTCTATTCGCCTTGGTGCCTTAGCCTCAGAGCAGCAGTCGTATATGCGCCGATTAATTTTTAAGTGCGATTGTCGAAGGTAATTTTACGTGAGTCCGACGTCGCAAGTGTCATTTCCCTTGGCGATTGAGTGTGTGACACTTACCAAACTTGTGCATCACGCTCTTAACATATTTTGAATGCTAGAATATTTTCTACTCGTTTATAACGAATGAAAAATCTGATGTTAGTTATCAGTCACCCGCTGATTGTATCGTTCAGCCGGCTAGCCGTAAATAAACTGGGAATGAAGTCCGTGCTTGGTTTTGATGGTATTTAGCAGCCAACTTGAGTTCGTTTTGCCTGTTAGCCTCAAAAACACAAGATTTAACGTGAGCTGGAGAAAATGAACGAACTCCACGTGTGTGCATGTATAACATGCCCAGCTTTAGCATAGTAAAATGGGCTCATATTCACCATATATATATATATATATATATATATATATATATATATATATATATATATATATATATGCAACGTATGTATATGTAAACAAAGAAATGTATATATACATGTTATTTACCATTACTCTTATAATTTAATGGTCGGAAAGCGAGGATGTTTTTTGGAGGGGCTCCAGACTCTAGGCGCCCCACAGCGTGGCGTGACCCCCCCCCCCTCCCCCTGATGGAATCCTGGACCCGCCCCTGTTCAGGGGTCCCTCACGTTGGTCTCTGTCAGCTTACCGACCTATCCACCATACACCTATGGGCCCTCCAAACTGGTCTAGGGCCCTTCCAATTCTCTGTCACTGACTTAGAGTCCTACGCCCTTGTCGGAAGCCCACTTGTTAACCTGCTTGCACACTCGTTTGTTCGGGGCCCTCCAAATTGCCGTGCTGGGGTGCACTAAATCGTTTGGAGCCCTCCACTCTGTGTCGTGGGTATTTGTTATTTGAATGGAGGGTCCCACACTCTTGTCTGGGATCCTCGCCTGCTAGCCTGTTCGGGCACAGTCTATCATTTCTCGGCTCTTCAT